AAATAAGTATACGTAAACGTTAACGTTAACTAACGTAAGTTAGTTAGTATAACAGAATTAATTATACTTATTACTAATATAATAATACTACTATGTGTGTGTGTGTGTGTGTGTGTGTGTGTGTGTGTGTGTGTGTGTGTGTGTGTGTGTGTGTGTGTCATAAGATACTAAGGTGAAATTGACCTCTTAAGCAGTGTAAAGTTTTCTATTATTACATATCACTTAAAAACTGATAAAATTTAAACATTCAGTAATTCACCACTTCAAGACAACATGAATGCACCTTTCACCAGGAAGTTTACTAGATCAAAAATGAAAAACCTTATATTATTTGGTTTGAGCTTTTATTATTTAACCCAAATATTATTTTTATATGTAGATTCCAGAAAATATTTCTAAGGTTTTAGTTAACATTTCGCTTGCAAACATTAAACTTAAGTTAACAAACTGGGTATTTTTTTTTATTGACTTTACAGGATGATGATGTAACCTTTCAGTTATTTTCTTATTTTCTGTACTCAGAGGTTGTAGTCTATACTTTTACACCCACAGAAAATATTCTGAAAACAAAATAAATAATAACTCCTTAAGAAACTCAGATTTATCTCAAATAACATTACTAGTTTTACACTGTTTCTTGTCTTTCACAGTTTTGACTGCTACATGAAATAGCCTTAAAATATAATATAAGAACATAAAACACGCAATTCTGACAAGTTATGTTATGCTACAACTGCTACCGAGATAGACACTAGTACTGTGTCATATTAAATCTTGCAATAACAGATAGAGCAAAGCTATATCCCATCATAGAGTTTATACAGTGAGATAAAAAATTTGGTCAAGTAACAGATACTTTGCAGTGGGATAAAGATAACTCAGTGTTATTTCACCTGACAAGGTGCTGTGCAATGCAAATAAAAAGAAAGTTAGAAAGAAACACTGCCTTTCATTTAGTGTGTGCTTTCTTCATGACATACCATTTTAATGGTTTTTATTGTTTTTAGCTCTTAAGCACCTAGGTGTGTCAATTTAACATATTGTTGCATCAGCGAGGTCACGTGACTAGTATCACGCCACTTCTTTCTCGAATCTTCAGGAGATTACTAGATTGGGGGTAGTCTGGTATATATAAGATGGTCACAACGTGACGGAACAACAGTGTAGTGAGTAATTGAACTGCAGTCAGAGAGTATTGTTGAAGTTCAGCACGTTCGTTGTTATAGCGCAACTGTTGAAATTGAATTGTTTTGTAATTTGACAAACTCTCTACAGGTTACCTATCCTCTTAAAATATTTATTTTTATATGTGATATTTGTATGTATTTGTAGGTTTGAAAATGCAAAGATATCACTATTTAAAAAAAACAATTAACAATGCCTACCATCATTGTTGCTTTCCACTACTGATTTTTAAGTCTTCCTACAATCTTGTAGAACTTTCCAATATCTTTTATTTAATGAAATTGTAAATATTATCTTTCTTGTGACTCAAAATACACTGCACACAGTTATAACTGATCACTAGCATATAATAAAAATAACTAATAATTTTGTTTTAATTGTTAGTCATTAGCTATATGTAATAAGTTTTAAACCCATTTCATACTCAATTGTATATTTTTTACAGTTCTTTTTGAGGATATTTTTGCACATTCAAGCAATCACTTAGGCCAATAACACATGATGTAAACAAAGACTAACAAAACAGGCTTTTCCCCATGAAATGAAACTTGATCTAGTTGGGTGCAAAATGATCTAACTATATAAACCTACCTTATCTCGTTCAATGGAAAACATTTCTCTACCTATCATACTGTCACAACATAAATAAAATGAAATATCAAATATCATATGAAGGATGAAAAAAAATAAATAAAGACTGTAATTGTGGCAGAAATTGTTCACAAATATTCTTTCTAGCAACATATCAACAAGATAAGCATTTATCACTTTGTTTTAATCTCTAAGTGAGTCTCCAGTGAACTAGAAGCCAAACTGGGTTATGCAGTTTGAGAGAACAGAAAAAAAAGCTTTTCTTACGTGTCTCGATCACTAGCCTAGGACTTCTTAAAATTTAGATATAGAAAAAACATGCCACCTGAGATATAGGTAATTACATCACACCATGACAATTAATGTTCATAAACAGTAATGGGCTAAATTAAATAAAACTACATTTGATTTGAAGCTAAAAACATCAAATTGGCACCATTTTGTTCAAAATAACATGTTTCGATTGACATTCTTCTAAAAGTTGAGTTTACCATGCTTAAGTTGATGGACAAGTGCTATATAGCAACCACTGAGATAATTTATCACCTCCAGATCTTTGGAAATTAACCTAAACAGGAAATGTAGAGATTGGGAAAAGATTTAAGCAGGAAAAGCCTTTCAGCACCTATTTAAAAACTATGGTGAATAATCACTCATTATTGTAGACAGAGCTGGCTGGGCATTCATCATCTTGTGAAGTAACACCATTCTGCATTTGACTGATGGAGCATTCACATTTCCCACAAGCATCAAAAAAGTGGAGCAGAAACCATAAAGCAGCTCTCCACTGATGCTGAAAGCACTGAATCACAAATAGACAGTGCAACCAATATAATATCTATGACTTACCTATTAGCAGTATTTTGTAAAATTCAGAGTGGCTAGTCCCAAGATGGATAGCAGAAAGCAAAGCAACTGCATGGTAATACTATCATCAGGATGTATATGCTAGATGTATGCAAAGCTAAATGAGGAAACTGACAAGCTCACAATAAAAACCCACCACACCTCTAATGGCAGGATATCAACCTACTTTGCACAAGCAAGATGAAAACATTAATCACAGAAGATCTTCATTGACATTCAGAAGGAATGAAACTGCTGGAAAACAAAGCACCATATTGTAGAGCCAGGAAAAGAAAAATATTGGGAATTAATATGAAAATAGAGCCAGAAGGCTACTGGTAACATAAATAAAGGAACTTTCTTGTACCTCCTGCAAAGTAATGGGTCTCAACATGAAAGTTCAATGCCTATCAATGCAACCCCTGAGACTGTCAACTAATACCAAACTGAACTCAAAGACTTATATTCACATTGCTATAAAGCTCATTAGTTACAAGTGCTATACTAAAACTTTTAAGAACAATTATATTACTGTGTCACATGTACTATGCTTAGTTTTTTTTAGGTCCAGCTTCTTTCTGGGCAACCTTTGTTTTTGTATGTTTTGTATGGAATATTTTGAAAGCTTAGATAGCATCAGTATGTTACAGCATACTGTACAAAGGGATTATGAAACAGCACTATTATGTCTAGGGCACTGTGCAAGAGAATAGATATAACAGAGTTATGTTACTGAATACTGCAATGGGATTGTGAAATGAAGAGCAATATATTATATGCAAGACATTGTACAACAGAGTAGAGATAGTAGTATTAAGTCACAAGATACTGTGCAATGGGATTGTGAAATAGCAATACTATGTCAAACGACTCTGTGGAACACAAGAGATATTAGTGGTATGACATAAAATGCTGTGAAATGTGATAGTGGAAATTTACTATTGTATCAAAAATGCTGTTCAAAAGTTGTATATTCAACCCTTAAAACCTTTAATGTTACTAGCAAAGTGAGGTTATCTACCCTACTTCTAACCATTAAAAAAATCCCTAATTATCTATTATGTATTAAAAAAATTAACTTCTTAAACTTGTAAAAATCATGACAAAACTCCTTCACTAAATACTATAAAAAATCACCTCTACAAATTACCATTGCCCTGAAATAAACTGAAAGTCACAGCAGTTAAATTACTTTGCTTTTTTACTTTGTAATCAGTAACAACTGGAAAGGCCCTTTGCAACCTTCATTATATACATAATTAACCTTACTTTCCCTCTACTAACAATAAAAATTCAGTGTTAAGAAAGTTTAAGCAGGATTAAGACTTCCAAGAGTTAGCATTACTTATAAAACTATGAAAACCTGGATACTGTTTATTCGTAAGACTAATGAAGTATTGGTCAATTTGTGGCTGAACAAACTTGTATAACAAAAATTACTATATAATTATATGAAAAACAAAATAAGCATCTCCAACTTTATAAGACCATAAAATACAGCTAATCGTATGTCTGCCGTATAGTAGAGATTATGGCATGCCCATAATCACAGAAAAACATTCACAATAAACTTATAAAAAGAAATGTACTCTTTCTACCATTAAAAGATTTTACCCATATTCTTCTATATAAAAGTCTTGGTTATTTATCATTTCTAAAAAGTGGGTAACATATCCTCCACTGAAAAAAATTAAGTAAATAGTTTAAACAGTTATTTAATCTGAAATAACAACTATTCTTCTCTACACATACAATTGTCAGTCCTGATGTTCATCCCCAATATTTCTTTTCCATCCTGAATACTGCCCATTCTGGCCTTGAACTCGACACAAGTTGCACAGTTGTTGAACTCGCTGTGTAGCCATAGCAACATACTTCTCCCCTGTCCACACCACTGTTCCCATAGCTTCCAGCACAAAAAGACTAACAGCAGTATAAAGCTTTCCAATACTCAGTATGAGCAATGTCTGATGACCAATGGCCCATAGTCTGTAGTTTTGTCCATAAAATGGATCAGACACAGCTGGACAGAGCATGTTATTCAAGTTCACCTGAGTCACCTGCAGTGAAAACAAAACATAAGTTTGTGACTCTTATCTGAAAGAGAAAGAAGGTAACACATGGCTCTATATTATTTACCTTTACTTGAGACAAAATTGTAACTATTAAATTTCTGTAACTCACATACACATTTTCAGCAAAATACTCAGTGTTTACATTCCTCAGATAGCACTGACTTCTCAAATAATTTCAATTATTGCTAGAACAGACATCTTAACATTTTAAGTCATGAAATAAATAAATCCTCATTATGTGAAGTAAGGGTGTTTCAACTAAACATCCACCATAAATTACTTATTCTAGCAATGACTGACAAGTTCACAAACAGTGGTCAATAAAAAGGTATCGCTTCTTTGCTTACCAATCTGGAAAGTGTTTGAAATGTAAGTAAATGTTTCTGTAATTTAATGTTAATATTTTTAAGAGCATATAAAAATCAAAGTTTTCAAAACAGGCCTAATTAAAATTTTTAAACTGCATAACTGAAATCTACAATTACAAACTGAAAATGCACACTGTTTCAACTTTAGAATACAAATTATAATTTGTTCACACACACACTGACCAAGGAGACTAAATGTGAGCCTCATGCAGTGAGAATCTGGTGTCATAGTACTTTTGATATTTTATGTTGACAGAACCTGCATGTGTACATTTAATACTAATCAATCACATTTCCAGAGCAAGAAGAGTAGACCTTTCAAAACCTAAGACTCAACTTTTTTTTCTAGTTTCATTTTTGTGGGTTTTTTTTATTGACTTTGAGCAATTAAGTTTATGTTTTGATCAGTTTGAGATTTTACTTGTAAACCATTTCCACCAATTTGTACAATACTAATGAAGCATTTAAGGTACGGCATATTTATATGTAGTTAGACACAAAGCTGCAAAATAAGCTATCTGTTGCATGCTTATCATAGGAATTGAATCACATCCTGAATTTTAGCATTATAAGCCCTCAAACTTACCCTTGAGCCTTCAGAGGTATTTAGGAAATGGAAAACAATTACCCATCATATTATAAAATTCACTGATTAATTAATGTGCCATCCAAAATGATGATTCTGACTTGTCTAACAGAAATTTGTCATAACTTTTACCAGTAAACTATCTACAAAATATTGTCAACTATCTTTTACATATTTATATTAAAAATAATTGTTGTTGCATGTTTGTCTTAGTTAACTTTTTTTCTCTCTCTTAGCACCAATCAATACCTGTGAGAAAATTTGCAAATAAAACTCATGTTTCTTACATAATTAAATACATTAGTTTACAAGTCAGTAAACCATGATACAGTAGATTAACTCTTTTGGTTGTAGAAACTACAATACAATAACAACAACATCTGTTGACAGAATACAATGCTTTATTCCTTTGCACACATATAGACTAGTATTTGAAACTTAAAGTAGGTATAACCTTCCATAACAAATCTGTGAAGTTTGAATAACCTAAGGAATAAACCAGCCTAACTATGTAATTTTCAAAAAAACAAAAAAAAGAAAGGTTTTGCTGATGAATTACATAACATTTTAAATACTATTTACACTAAATTGGAATATACAATATTACAAACTTATTTTTCCACACAATTTACTTTTGGAAAAAACTGAAGTTTTGTACCTGTCACTAACTGAAATAAAATTAAAAGAAATCATGCTATGTTTCTTGTTCACTGTTGTTTTGTATTTCTACACTTAAAATGTCACTGTTCACAGATACATTGCAATATTTTTTTTATTATTGGAATGTTAACATACAGTTAAATCATTTGCTATTGATTTCATTAAACATTTTGTTCAAGATTTTCACATAGGAACTAGATCATTTTTTTTCTTTTTTTTCAGACTTAATCAGTAAAAGCTAGATCCTGCTAAATATATGAAACTATATTGGAGTAATGGTGATTGAACTATAAAATAAAGAACATGGGTGTTAACAACTATCAAAATTCACAAAACTTTAGTCAGTAGAGTTAGTCTAAAGAAACTGTAGAACAAGTAGTATAGCAGATTACATACTTTCTTCTAAAGTCTAAAATACAAGTACTTACCAATCCTAAAACCTGAAGAAGTAAAAAGTGGTAAAAAAATAACAAACCACAAGTTAGAAAAGCCCAGCTGAAGTCACTCAGGGATTCTACTGTGTACACACCTGCATGATGACAATGAAAAAACAGTGTGTAATGTGTGGATAACATCTATTATAAAACTCAGTAAATTAGAAACAAAGGAATTCCCAACTTCCATAAACTGAGTTAAGTCATGCATAAATCTATCAACATAATCATTAACTGTTGATATGTTTTTGTTTTTTTTAACTTACTCAAGGAGGTCTTTATATTATAAATACATTTCAGATTTGGGAACAACAACCTTTTATAATTGGAAATCATAAAAAAAATAATATTCGTTTTGTTATTACCAAACCCCTTCCTCAATTTTACCACCTGTAAACCTTGTAAGTTCAAAGCATTTTTCCAAAAGTCTGAGGATAAGAGTTAAAAACTATTTAATCTACAAACATAAAGCAAAAATACTACATGCATGTGTATGTCCACCTTTTGTGCTTTCAGTTTTGAAACTGATCTCAACCTAACTTGGTATGCACCCTTAAAGATCCCAATGAAGTGACATGAAATGAGGGGGGGGAATGGCATTTGGATCCGACTTCCCTATGTTACCCTTTTAGTTATATTCTTTTTCATTTTACAATGGTTTTCAAACTTTAAAAGATAAAAGTTATAGCTATTAAAAGTTTTATTTTACAAAATAAATTGGTCATAATTACAATTTTCCTTTTGTTTGACTTTAAATTCAGGCTACTTGAAGAATATAAAACAAAACTAGATATTTATTTTGCATAAGTATTCATTTGACTAATGAAAAAAAAATGAACTATGATTATTCATTTTCCTTGGTTGGTTGCAAAGCATTTAAGTAACTGTGTAGACATAGATGCAACACTTAAGGCCCCAACATGGACATGCTTAAAAACATGTAAAACAATACTGAATTGTCTGAAATAACACATACAGAAAAGTTTACACAGTATTGTTGTAACACTTGATTCATAACTAAATAAATCTTTCATTGTTTATAAATGTTAAACACAGTTGTGTTAACTTGTGTGTATGATACATTTACATGTAGAAAGTTTAGGATTAAAAAGTGTAACAATTACTAAGTCTGAAGATAGGAATTCTACTGGCTTTTTTATATTATTTTGTCACTTAATAAAATTTTTTGAAGCACAAATTTTTAAGTCAATTTTATATATTAATTCTAAATATATTTCAAAAATTTTAACTCAAAAATATTTTAGAATCAATAATTTTTTTACAGATGAGTTGTACACTATCTTTCAGCCAGATATTAAACACACTTTTCTTAACAGAATCTGCAATCAGAATCAACCTCACTTTCATTCAGGAATGTGACAAATGTTAATGGTTGAAGTATGATGTATGCATAAATAAATGCTTTTAAACATACCAATCTTTAAATCTCTTGAAATAGTACCATTAATGCTTCACATTTTAAGGACCAAATCCTTATGCCTTTTTTGCCATTGTGATTGAACAGAATTTTACCATAACATGTGGTTCCAACAATGAAAAAAATGTAAGAATCAAAGAGACCAATGATCAAGAAACTAAAATCAATAATGAGAAATAATACAACCTCAGAATTGACAAATAACAACAGTCAATACAAACTTATAATAACAAATCAAAACTTGAATTTTGAATACAAGTTTAGTATTACAACAAACATTTTTTTTCTAGTATATCCACTTCCCGGCATGTGTGTGTGTGTGTTGCCTCTTTTCTTTTCTCAACCAATGATATTGCTTCTTTACCACAAGTTCTGCCTTGTTCAATATCACTGAAATGGCACAGCAGAACACATTGTTCCAGTTGATGACAAGAAACAAGAATTATTTTATTATATGTAAACAAACTAAGTTTTCCTTTAATATTATTGACACAACCTGGATATTTATTAAAATATTTATACAAATATTCTCCTTTAATTCATATAAACTGATATTTGTCCAGACAACCCATATTTTAGGAAGGGAGCCAGAAACTGCCTATGTAGATTTCACACTGGCCAATCAGAAATTCCACCCTTATTTTGAATGCTGCTGTTGCTTGTTTTGTGCCTCTGTTCAATGGCTATCACCAGTTTAAAAGCTCAGGTATCAAATAAATGCTATGGTTTTCTTATCTATTATACGAGTTTGTTCAAATGTACCACCTAATTTAACTGGCACACATAGACACACACACACACACACCAGACAAACTGCTGTGCAAGCACAAGTAAAGGTTGCTGATAGGAAGAAAGATTCTATCATGAGCTATGAAAGAGTCTGTTGACAAATGACATTACAATTCAGGTGTAGAAAGGAAACTTAATAAGACCTAATTGATGATAATTTAATGAAGGCTTTGCATGCAAGACATTTTAAATGGTACATGTGGCTGCACATATATATACAATAAACATCTTCCTTTTACTAATAATTTTCTTAAATTTTCTAATTTGATATTTTAGTAACTAATTGTGTTTCACTAAGTCTATTCTGATCAATGTTTAACTTTGTATAGTATTTATAAAGGTAAATTATATGTTAACATTTTCTCCTAACATCACATGTGCCTATATATACCATAGGTAAGCCATAACTAATAAATAATTAACTTACAATAACAAGAATAACACAATTATTTGACCAACCTCCCATTCCTGTCCTCATAAGGTAGAAAGGAATAATTAACATCAAACCATGCTGAAGAAAGTACACTTCTGTCTCCATTGGCAACTATTAAACAAATATAGACAGTTCTTATAACTTAAACATGTGTATGCTAATAGTAATGAAACTTTAAAAATCTTATAACTCAGAGGGAGGAAATTTTTTCAAGTAATTACACATTCTAAAAAAAAACTTTTATTATATATATAAATTAATTATAGGTAGTCACAAGCACTTGCTTAATGATGTATAACAAACTTCTCATAACTTACCAATCTCGTGTTTAACACAGGGAGTAAAATGGCCAATAACGCTCCATGTAAACAATGCAAATGTATCCTAAACAATACCGTAACCAACCGGTGTGTTGGTGGAGCAGCAAGCAGAAAAATCTGAAATGACAAAAATATATCACTAACAAAATAAATTCTACTACATTTATTAAAACTTTTGGCTGTACCTGAACAAGCATATACCATTATGAGTAAGTTCAGAACTGCAAAAATTTCTTAAGCATATTGGTCTAGCAATTTTTCAAAAAGGATGAAACTATAGCCACAGAAAAAAAGACTTTAATGATGTATAAATATTGTTTCCTATAACTACAATAATCACAATTAATTATTTTTAAATATATATATACTTTACTCAAAGTTCAAACATAACTTAATTAAAAAACATGTTCTCAATGAATTATTTTTTTCTGTACACACAGTTTCAGGCTAATTAGAACTACATGATATCTTTGCTAGTGATTTATAGTAGCCTGTATTGATATTTCTTTTACACTAACCACTGTGAGATCTAACACCAACAGAATAGACCAGGCAGTCAGCTTATGGTTGAACATGGATATGATCACGAGTTCAGGTTTATTGATTTAGTTCCGTGTATTTTGTGTTGGAATTCCTATGTATATTCCTGAATATTAACAATTTTTTACAGAAATTATCAAAACTTACATGGTACAGGCAACTGCCAACGTAAAACATATGCAGGTACACAACACAGATTGAAACTTGCCATAAAAATTTAAATAAAACATGGTAATACCAGTTATTTTTACAGATGGTTTGGAATTGTTTTGATTTCCATCATCAGCATTAAGTCCTCAAAAAACTTAATTCACAATATTCTAATTACAAAAACATCAGCCATTAAGCAAAAAGTTTTTGATACAATCAAAATATAACAGGATGTACAATGAAATGTGCAACATGTTTCATAATATTAAGAGAAAACATCATAGAGAAAGAATAAAATATCCATATAAACCACTACATCTATAATATCAAAAAAATTGTCCATAATCACAGACATTTCCTGTTGTTACTGTGTTATTTCACTGTAATATTTATTATTAAGTAGTCTTTTTTAACCAAGTTACTAATCAACTAACAAATTTTACTTGCTGTCAGTTAATGAATGGGTACATACATGTACATCACTGACTAAGTATCGTAACTTGCAATGGCATTTTTCAGTTAACATGATGTGGAATTAACAGACGTACATGAACAATCAAACACCCAGGAATTTTAGGTTATCATTACAGAATTTAAAAAGTTATCATACACAATGCTTTACAAGTAGTCAATTTTACAAATAAAAAAATTTTCTTAAAATTTCACATTCATTCAAATAGAGTAAAACAAACAGTGATAAAGGGATAAGAGAGGAAAATAACTGTTCTAAGTTCCTAAAAGCTCAGTCTTCTTCTGTAAGATGGAGGTCCGATGTAAGCTCTCTGTATATATCCAATCTTTGATTATATTTTAAATATTTCTTTTTCCCAGAAGAAATACAAGAAATTTATCCATGAGGTTCCTCATCACAGTTGACAGATTTGTATGACCTGTTTTTTTACTACCTTTACTTTCTCTTCTTATCATCCAATTAATTCAGGGTTACGAATACACACCTAACTTTAAATTCAATAGATAGTCACACTATTAATGAGTTTGATGTTTAATTAATTTTTTTTTTAAAGTCACAACATAGAACAAATTAGGCCTACATATTGACCATCACATTATAATGCCCCCACAGCTGAAAGGGCAAGCACTGTCTAAAGAGAAGAGGAATACATAAAGAACTTGTAACAATCCTGACTCAGAGCATCACTGCTAGGGCCACAGAGTCTGGGACTGATGACCAAAGGTGTGGAAGCTTGGTGTTGAAATGGCATCGATAAGAGGACCCCCAAAAGATGGAAAAAATTTCATTGAAACACCAAAGGAAGTAAGAATTAGTGTTGAAAGGAACCATTCTAGGCAACAACCAGATGTAATATTCATAGGACCAAAAGAAGAGCTCTAGAGTGAAACAGCAGAATTCTCAAGGGGAAATACTCTCCTATTAATAAAGAAACAACAGTGGAGTTATCCAGATAAGTTTAAAAGATGATGGTGACAGGCCCTTTGAGCTTCTAACATCTCAGGGAGATGCTGATATGGAGAGACTCAACACTGGAAATGGTGATTGTGTCTAGAATTGCACCTCACTCAGTCAAAGAGGCATCGGTGAATAGATGTAAGTCTACACAAGGTGGAGGAAGGGGAAGACAAGGGTTGTGTTGTAACAATCAAGCCACCACTACACTGAGAGGTGAAGAGATGGATGGAGGGAATCCAGAAAAGTCAGTTGATCTCTGTACATATTCCACTGATCTACGAGAATACACTGAATAGGACACAGAAGGAATCTCAGAAGGATGAGAGACTTCAGAGAGGTTAGCCCCCCAAAGAGATGGAACTTTTCATGCAGGAAGAGGAGGAGACATCAGAAGTTCTATACCTCATAGATGTAAAAGAGAAGGCCAAGCCTCCCCAGCAAATAAGTTGATAAATACCCACAAATGAATCAGATACTGAGTGGGGAATTACTGCCTTGGTGAGCTTGACCAGCCAAGCCAAGTGGAACAACTTCTAAAGGAGAAGGGAGGTCAGAGCAAAAGGTACCTCCCAGAATGAGGTGAAGAGAAGCCATTTATCCATATAATAGTGGAACTTGCAAAAGACCTCACAGTTGAAAACATACAGGCTGAAGCTAACTTGAAAGGAATAGCCCTGAAATGAAAAATTGCACTGCTGTCAATGATATGAAGGAAGCAACAAATGGCCAGGTGAATCAAAATGTGGAAAAAAGCATCCAAAACCTCAATCTTACTCATCCACAACTGGAGAGAAATCACTTAACTCAGATCAAGGAAACTTTCTATTTTGACAGAAAATTAGTTCAAGGGTGAAAATTCTATGAAAGGCCACTTATCCCCAGCCCAAAGGGGATTCAAGGGCCTGTTCCACTGTGTTCATTGCCTGAAGGGAAAATAGTCTCCTCCAGACACATGGGATCTGAGGGGGTCAAAAGAAGACTGAAGAAGGTGAAAGATGAGTTTGACAGTGTAAAGACTGGGTAAGCTCATGAGAAAACACATGCAACTCATAGGTCTTCTGCAATGGAACTCTTCAAAAGAAAAAACATTTTCTCAGAAGAAAGGTATCAAACAGTGTTTCCTGAGAAAAGATGGAGAAAACAGAACTCCAGAAAGTAAGGCAATCTGGCCAAGTAAGTCCCAGGAACAGAATTTACTAGGAAAATGCAGAAGAGACCAAGAGGCCAATGCAGAGAAGAGGTAGATACAGCCTTTTCCAGTAAAGTTGTTGTAGTCATGATGAAGATCCGCAGAAAGAATGTGTAAAAATTATGATAGTGAAGAAACTGAGGAAACAAAAAACAAATACAAGCAGAGTAAAAATGAGAGAGAGAGAGAGATGAAATGGGAGAAAAAGAAGACCTTTCCCAGCTGGAAGAAGAGAATCAGGGGATTGAAGCTTGAGGTTGAGGTAAGAAGAAGGATTCTGACCAGGAAGATTTGGTATCTGAAAGCATCATGAAGCTGAGACAGAAATTAATAGGCATGAACTCTAATATCAGGCAAGAGGAAAAGACAGTCCAAGGATTGAGGATTGTGCAGCAAGCTTGCCCATGATCCAGCAGAAACAACCGTAGTAAGAGAAATAATGTCACATACCTAAGTTATCAGTGACAAAAAAGGAAGGTAGAGTTATCTGATTCTCATCTGGGAAAAAATAACCAAAAATACAAGCAGGTGATAGAAAGAGATACTCTAAATTGTCCAAAGATGTGTCAGGCTCACCAAAAGTTACAAAAGCAGGAAGATGGGAGTTCTGAGTCTAAAATAAATACTAAAAGAGAACCAACCACTTGATGCACAGTGACAGTAACCTCCCTCAGCTCCAGTCATCATTGAAGTAGTAGAAGACAACCCCTGTTGAGGAGTGTCTGGCACTCGGTAAGCTTCAAAAAATGTTGATACATGAATTCATAGTCCAGAAAATCCATGAAATTGGATTTTTCTTTTATCTTTCTTTCATTGAAATCACAAATGTGAAATTAAGAAAGAAAAATTTGTAACTGAAAGTTAAAAACTAGCACAGATCCAGTTTCATTTTTCTGAAGAATACCATATATTCCCACCGAACAGTCAGCAGTATGTGCTTGGTGCTCATTCTCTGCTCATCCACACATAACAAATTGTGATCAGACCATTCCTGATTAAGTCAATAAATTGTGATATATACAAAGAAAAAAGTTTAAAGTTACTGGAGTTTCACCTACTTCAGAGGCATCGTCAGAGTGACAAAAGGTAACAAAGTCATTGTATTTATATAGGTGTGAGAAACACTCCTAGTGTAAATAAAGCTAAAATATATAAATATATATATAATGTAAAATCATACATTTACTGCCTTTTTATTGTTATTTGAAAATCAGGCCAGAAAAAGCAGGAAATGGTGTTTTAGGGAGTATTGATTTTCAAATTTTTCTAGAAGAGCATGCTCCCCAACCTTCTTTAAGAATTGTGCCTAAAATGTTGAGCCTTTGGGCAAAGCTCCACCTCACACTCACAGGGCTACCCATGTAGTCTTAAAGATAATGAAAACCCTGGTGTTCAAACTTCCAGAAATAACACCTAAAAACACTTATTACAATGATAAAGTGTAGACTCAGTATCTAAAGATAGTGGGGTATGTTCTATAATCAGAAGTAAATATTATTCCAGATAAGTGTCCAAAAGGTATGGAAGTAATTTTGAATGAACATTTTGGATCATGGATAGATAAAGAAAAAAGGGGAAGTGTAAACACTGGGAAGGAAAAAATAAAAACAGTAAAATGAAAAAGGAGTAAAATTGAAAAATAGGGAAAAAGAGACTGTATACTAACTACTAAGTTTTGAGGCTGAAGACTCACTACTATACTGCTGTTGTCAACCAGTCATACAGTGGAAAATCATGGAAGAATTTTATGAGCCTTCATTCAGAGTATACAAGAAAAAGAAATCTGATTTTTGGAAGAATATTAACCTCCTGACTACATTTAATTTTTTTCAGTTGCTTTACATATAAAAATCATTGTTCATACTACTTCTAGGAAGTTTTATTCTGTTAACAAGCTTCATGAAAATTAATTTGTTTTACATGCTTACAATTTGAAAAAGCAGAACTAAAGGCCATGTTTGTACAAATAGCATTTGATAAACAATTATAGAGATCGCTGTAATATTTTTTTTATCTCTATAATGATTCTGACTAAGTAGTTAAATGCAATTTAAATAAGAAACATCACTATCAATGCAAGACCACAAACAACCTTCAATTTTTTTAAGATGAGAAAATTATTTATTTACACACACTCTAAAAGGTATTTAATATCGGCCAAAGCACAGGCTCTCCTTCCTCCATTTGTGGAGTTCCATCATAGCATATTTGTCAGTGTACAGTCCAGGTAGTGGTGCACTGTCCCTAATTCGAAACTACCAACCAAAGGTAATAAGTAATAAATATATAGAGTCTACATAAGTGTCAGTGTTATGGCAATCTAACTTTTAAGTGCTATACTTACTGCCTAAAGACTATGCTACATGAAGCTCTAAGCAATGTATTACTGACAGAACTACTAATATTACTACTAGTACTAAATATAGCACTAGTTTAGTACTACTGGTAAATTACTACTACTGTAAATATTACTACTATTACAAAATCACAATGGGATAAATCATAAGAAATTATGGTATCTTCTATATGCTTACCTGGATCATGGTAATAATGTGGCAGGGATTCAGTATGTATATGACAGTTTTAGATGAAAATTTATAACCAATCTCCATCCCAAACACCAAACACATTAAGACAAGAAGAGCTCTCTTTCCTCCCCGATCTTCTCTTATAACTTTTGGCACAGGTGGGACATGAATTCTTTTATATCCCCAGTACAGATATAGTAGACCAAATAAACATGCAAGTCCAGTTTCAAAGAATCGATGCTTAAGTGTTAAAAAGGCTGCACACTCAGGACCCCCATTCCCTTGTAATCCGTGGTCTACACCTCCATAAGCCCACTCAGCAACACTATCCATTGATGATGTCCACATGGTGGCTCCCTGTAACTAATAACAAAAATTTAATATGTATTTAATAAAAACATGCTACTTCATTCTTGTATTGTGAGGATGTCAACATGGTGGCTCCCTGTAACTAATAACAAAAATTTAATATGTATTTCATAAAAACATGCTATTTCATTCTTGTATTGTGAAGTGCATGAGCAAGTGTACATCTGATAACTGCTGTACTTTTATTCTACACATACATAGATATCTTGTAGAACTAAAAATGTAAAGGTATATGACTTTACAAAACTTTAATGTTAGTCCCTGTATGCAAGCAAATTAACCTTACACACAGTATCGACAGTTTATTAATCAAATACATTCAACTAAGCAATTATTCTTGCATGAAACTAATCTTCCTATTTTCAGACTGTTTTTGTTCTTTTATGACATTTTGGAACTACCTTTCATTTAATATAATAGACATTTTAAGATACCAAATTTGGAATTAAAGTACTTTTTTTTTTAATCCTTCATTGTACAAAACCTCTAATAAGCTGAAAATGTTATTAATACCATTCCAATGGTTTCTCCCTACAAATTTTCACAAGATTATCTAAAACTACTAAATTTGTGTTGAAGAAAATAAATATTACTTCAGAACACTGATTATAAATTAGACAAACATATGCTTAGTTTTGGGAATCGAGTTTGCAATTTCATACAAACACACTATACTGATGCAATCAAGCATGTGATGGCAAGTATAATGTACAAAACATATAGGCAATCAAGTACACCAATATTTTAGGTGAGTCTTTACTATACAAAAAAGACAACAAACTTAACAGTTAATGGTGCTTCACTTGTTTAAAATAGAAGAGAATATTACCATAGGTATAAAATTAGTAATTATTTTGTACACAAGAAAATTCTACTATGAAGTAAGCCAAAAATTTATCATCTGAAATAAAAAAATGTCAATTCAACACATCTGTATCAATCATTGTATGTTTATTTCCAATTTCAAATTATTAAGTAAGAGTTCATTTGAAACTACAGGCTATTTATGGAATATTAATCATAGAGTATATTTTTTTTTACAATATTCAATTCAATATAAAGTACAATATAACAGAATCAATAAATAAATTTTATATATATACACACAAACACACATGAAATTAATGTATTGTTAAAATTTAATGATTTTGTTGTTGTTCACAGAAAAGTTGAATATAGCTTTTACATTCACAATTTGTTACAAGGCTAAAAGGCTGATTTGGATAAATAGATAAAAACTACTTCACAAGCATCTGTCCCATGATCACAGAGTTAAGAAATCGAAACATGCTAGTGCCTGCAACAACTGCCACTAGGATAAAAATTCAGGAAAGTAATAACACAGACAAAATAGACTTATGATTTATATAACACTAAAGAATACAGTTGTTCAAATTATAAATTACAGATGTAACACAATTTAAAACAGTAATTTTACACCTTACTCAACACTATAGAATACAATTATAAATTAGAAACATAATACAATGTAAAACACAAAAACAGTAAATTCATACTTTATTTAACACTAAAGTAGTCCAATGGTTGGAAGTGGATGCTACTAGGTGGTTGCCTTCCCTATGGTCAACATTTGAAATACAAAGAAATAAATATAACACCTCTATGACCAAAATGGCATACATGCTTAATGGCAATGAGAATCAAACCCACAAATCAAAAGACAACCAAATTTCTGGTCATGCAGGCATAAAAGTAAACAACTATGGATTAATAGTTAAAAATAAATAATTATAAATCATAATGGCAATATTTAAATTACTTCAATAGTTGGAATAATTTAAAATAGTAATAACTGAAAACTTATTTCAATTGGTTGATAATTTTCATGAGTTTTGAAACTTATCGATTAAGCTAACAAAAGTTTAATAGCATGAAAGTTGTAATTTTCCTATACTGAAAATGTATTTCCGATAGGTATTTACCTCTTCTCACAAAATTAGCTATTCTTGTTCAGTGCTGCCTTCTATATGCAAACTTTTTATTTATACATGCCACAAACCTTCTGCTCCCCCTATTGGAATTAAAAGATTCCAATGTGTGTATGTCCACAAATCATCATGTGTCACTTCTCCACCAATATGAGCATGACATGCTCACGTGACACATGTGACTCCCTCTAAAATTCTCTACCAAACTATCACTTCGAAGTTTGGCAGAAGACTTAAGCACCGGAGGAAAGTGGAGAGGAAGGGTGGGATGTGTGAGAGGAGGTAAGTACCTATCAGAAATACATTTTCAGTATAGGACAATTATAACTTCCGATAGGATACTTACCTCCTTTCACAAAATTAGCTAGAATCCCACATTGAATAGGAGAGACCAGCACAGGGGAATGATAGAAGTACCCTCCAAAAGCATCCGAAGGATACCCCTGGAAATGAGTCAGATCCGAAGATCAGATGAGAGGAACCGCACCACTTCTGAAACAGGTATACTCTTCACCCCTCTGTGAAATGTGGAGAATATATGGGCAGAAAAAGAGAGGAGAACATGTAAGTGGGAGAAAACTGTGTCAGGGCGATATAAGAACGAAGAGCTCTGACTGGATACAGAAGCCAATCTGGATCCAGTCAACAGTAAAGATGAGGAATGGAAGGAAGGAAAATAGGCAAAAATAGGGAGCTACCCTACAGAGCCACCAAGGTCTTTGGGAGGAAGGAATGAACTGAATAAAGGAAAAGACAGGTATGGTAATAAAGTGTCCATGAAACATCAATGGCAAACAAATCCAACCATCGACATCAACAGGCTGAGAGAATAAAATAAGTTTTAGGTGAAATGTGGAATACAAAGAAAGTGGTTCAAATGGAGGTAAAGTGAGGAAATGGAGTACCACATTAACATCTCAATCCGGAAGGGTAGGTCACCTGGGAGGGTGATGCAACCAAAAGGAACGCAGTAGCATGGTAAGGACATGAGAAGTAAAAATTCTACAGGAAACACAAAAGGTATGGGATAACGTTGCCCAAGACTGAGAACCCCTGGTCAAAAAGTCAAGTGAGAAATTCCACCTACCAAGCCACAGTAGTATAACAACCGTGGAACACATTCCACTTGCACTGATATACCTCCATGGAAGAAGGACATATGGAACCAGCTAAAAAGAAAGTGACTCAATGGAAGAAACCAGATCTCCTCACCAAGGACCAGATAAACGGCACATGTGAAGAAGCAGGACATGAAGGGCAGGATGTAGGACCGGCAACCGAGGTTAAAGAAGAAGGTAGGGAGATGACGAAAGAGGTACAGGAGGGGAGAGTAGCAGATGCTGAGCTGAAGGCATCAACTGCAAGAGTCTGAGGATGAGGAACTGGTGACCAAAAGAGAGATAACTTGTGATTAAGGCTTGTAGCAAATGCATCCATGTGGGGAGAAACACACTGAGTGCAAAGCTCCCAGAAAACAAGAGGATCCAAGGACCAATCTGTTGGATATATCTGGTTGAGACGGGAAAGATAATCCACAATAAGATTTAAACCACCCTGCACATTACAAGCAATGAGATGTGTTCCATGTGGGCCCAATATAAGAGATACAATGTTCAAAAACATAGATCTCTTGACTGGGTGCCTCCTTGGTAATTGGTATGTGCCATCACTATAGAATAGTCAGAATGAACCATCACCAGTGTCAGGCAAGAAGAAGAAGGAAGTGATTCAATGCTAACGTATAGCTAGAAGTTCAAGAACATTGAAAAGGAAAACACTTTCATCCACAGACCAATGGCCTAAAGCTTCTTGGTGGATAACCCATGTACCCCATCCCTGCAGAGATGCGTCCATGAAAAGATGTAGATCCGGATGCGGGGAAGGAAGTAACATGCCCACTCACTGAAGTATGTGCCTTGTTCAACCACCAAAGCAGGTCATCTCGCAGAGTAAGAGGAATGGTAATGGGAGTAGAAAGTGGATCCCACTCAAGGTTCCACTGATTGTGAAGAACCCACTGAAAGTATCTCATGAGAGGGACCAGTGATGTCATTGAAGACCACATCCCCAAAAGCAATAGAACCTTGCAAGCAGTAAGGGATGGAACTGAGAGGGCATGGCAAACTAACCATTCCATAGAACGAAGTCTTAAAAGAAAAGGCTGGGCCCGACTGATACAAGTATTGAAAAAGACCCCCCAAATGGACAAGATATTGAGTAGGTCTGAGGAAGACTTCTCCAATTTGATTAACCATCACACTCAAGCAAACACTAAAAGGAGCTGCCGTGTATGGCTGGCTGATTCTTGTTTGGAATGAGCCAGAAGAAGCCAGCCATCAATGTAATAGTGAAAACTCAACCCCAGAGCATGAAGATGTCAGGCAATTACTTGGACTACTCAACAGAAAATATAAGAGGCTGAAGTAAGCCCGATTGATAGTGCTTGAAATAGTTAAACCATCCTGAGATAGACAAACCAAAGATAAGCACAAGACCAAAGTGATATAGATATATGGAGATAAGCATTGACAACATCCATTTTGGTCATCCATAAACCTGAAGAAAATGCCCACTTAAGGGTGAGAAAAGACTCCATGGTAAACTGGGGCAGGTGAACAAAGCAGTTGAGGCAAGATAAATCTATGACTTGCCTTCAGTCCCAGGTTTTCTTGGGAACATGAAAAAGTCAGGCAGGAATAGAAGCTTGTTGAAAGATGGAGAACATGTTCAAAGGCCTGCTGAGATAGCAATTCCCAAACTGCTTCCGACAGAGGCTGCCTGGTCACTGGATCCCTAGGAGGAGGGAGGGAAATGGTAAAAGGAGATACGGGAGGTGGGGAAAGAAATGGGATCACAAATCATTCCGCCAAAACCTGAAGAACCTATTGATCCTCGATGAAGGAATGCCAGGGATGAGGAAAAATGGCAAGCTGAGCTCTCACTGGACTGGAACCCACTGGATAGTCACCAGTACTGTTGGCATCGTGATATACATCATTAAAAAAAAATTATGAGAAGAGGCACCCCAAGAAGAAGGTAAGGATT